GTCAACACATTTTAATTCAACAAGCAAGCCACATCTGCACTGTGTATTACAAAGGCAGTGTTGGATGGTAAGCAGTGCCATTATTCTGTGAATATAATGGGCTGGATGTGATCTAAACGGCCCAGGTGTGCCATGCATGCATCCAAATACGATGCAATTGAACGCAGCAGAAGCAGATTTACACCGAAAAAAATTATTACAATCGCACCGTTGGTTAGCTTGGTTTTACCAGCCCCGTTTAGATTTTTTTCCTTAAATGATTTTCTTACCGGTATAAAACAAATATAAAGCAACCCCACACGGCCTCCCAAGATACTAAAGTATGAAATGGGGGAACACTATTCAAAATTAACAACATTTGTTCCGATTGCAATGGGGACTGAAAAAATACACCCTGTAGACTGGTGTGTGTGTGTTTCTATACATAATTTAATAGCAAGCTTTCAGCACTTAATTGTATCAATTCATTTCCAACATAGCCTTTTATGCATTATTGCTAAATGTTTAACACCTCAAAGTGAGTTAAATTATCTATAGGATTGTTTTAAAAACTGATAAATAAGAATCAGGTGGGATTTTCACAAATGGTACAGAATGTCGAACACAAATTATTTATCAACCCAAAAAATTAAACACAGTCACGTTAACTTAGTTCAAGTAACAGCAGCAATCCTTTTGGGGCTGCGTAGGGAAATTAGACGCAGCTTCACGAAGGCTTCTTCCAATTTGTCCCTGTGTTTAGATTAAAACATGCTTGCAGCACCAGTAATGCAATAATCTCGCTGGCTCTTCTGTGCTTCAGCGTGTCTGCTGGTAGCAGTCAAAAGCATATATGCATCCAGGGCAAATTCCTTGTTTTAATATAAAGAAATTTGCTTTCTTTCATTACATTTGAAGAAAAAGGGGGAAAAAAGTCTTACACTGCACCTTTCTGAGGCTGCAAATAAAAATGCGTCTCAAGGCAAAAAATATGTGCCGCTCTCTCTCTCTGTTAAGAAAATGCTACACACATCAATCATCTTATCAGGAAAGAAAATTACTGAAATTTGCGAGCATTACACGTTACTTAAAAAAGCCTTAAATAAGTTCCTTGAAAATATGTGGTGTTTAATTTTGCCTAGAATAGCGGCCATGCAAAAAATGTGATTAATTTTTGTACAACGATGTTATACTTCCCCATATGAAATGCCACACTGGGGATATGTAAAAGCAATTACGCCTTTAAAATTAAATTACCAATAATTTGCCTAAGCAGGGATGCTCATGTGATCTGTGTGCTCACAATTAGAGGAAACGGAATGAGTGCATAACTTATTTTTCTTTTTAATTAGGGATGATTTAGGTCGAGAGCCAGTGAGCTCGAGATTACGAGAAATTTGATTACTCTAATGAAATGTCATGTTTTACACCATGTCTTGCACATGTTTACATTCAAGGGTATAGGCAGGAGAGTTGGATTGGGAACAGGGGAGGGGGGAGCTCAGCACTGTGAACTCCAGCCCCAGGTTCATAAGGTCCTTCACAACATCAGGCCCAGACCATCTGAACCCATGGGGCCCCCATCTATAACACATAGGCCCTCACGAGAAATCCCAATCTTGACAATGGCCCTACCTTGAATGTATTTGAACCCAGATTCACATAAAACAGTTCACGACATGGTCAAAAAACCATTTGTGGATCATATATTTATCTATTCAATGCATAAATATTTTTTAAAGTTCTTTAATTTTTACATTAAATAATAAATTTACATCCCTTTATTAATCCACCGCTAAATGAAAGCCTTCCTAGTGTGTCTCAAACATGGGGGTTGTTTGTACATATTTTACCATGCTGGTCATATTGCATACAGTATATGCTCTTGTAAAATATAACAATATGAAATATAATTGTATATATTTTACGATTAACACGGTTGGCTACATATGGTGCGGAAGACGTTCAAAATACATACATACCAGGAATCGGAGTGGTGTCAACTGCCTCAGCTATAAATTGCCAGCTAATATTAGCTGTGGTCGGGAATCTAACTGGTTAAGGACTTGCCCATAACGTGTCAGTCAAGGGTGCTGTTTGACCACGCTGCTCAGTTCAAGTTGGTCAAACCTGGGAATTGAGCTCAGGTCACCAAGTTTTGAGTGCAGCGCGCAAACCACCGTGCCACTGCTTCACCAACAGTTTTTTGTTTTCCAATAAACTGGGCAAATTGTGATATTCCTAATAAACTTATACATCGTTTTTTTGGCTCTAGATTTTCAAATATGCTTCAACAATATCCGCTACAAGCATCAGCCATTACTTTTTATGTACTCACATACCCAAATCTACTTGCATGCATTCACCATAGCATTTGCGACGTGGCATTCTGGTAAAAAAAATATATTCAAAGCTACAAATTGAAACAATAAAACAAATCGGATGGAAATTTTAGATTTAATCAATACAATACAATGCCGCACTTTGCATACTTCCCATAATTACAACAATCTTTCAATCGGCAAAGTCCAAGGGCATTAAAAACTTAAAGAAAAATTACTGCAAAGTAATGCGTTTTTCTTTCAGTCAAAAACCTAGGCACTGAAAAGCAAACGCAGCAATCACGTTATGGCCAGGTCATCCCATAATGGTTATACTCATAAAAACCGCTATAAAATGTATTAACAGCACATAACCGCTTTCCACCAAGAGAGGCCTGTATTAGCCTTGAAGTGAATAGTACGCTACAAAACGGGCTGATCAATTTATGGGCTGCTATTAGTGTGAGAGAGCACTCCTGAATATTTTATAAAATGGCTGTAACAATCAATAAAACTGTTTTCGCGGGTGCTTTGTGAGTTTAAGCGCTACAAGAACACAGAGTCATAGAGCCGATGAAAAGCCATTGGGACAACCTTCCTTGTCAATGCATGGTTTACATCTTGCTAACTCGCGGTAGCTGGGTATAAGCACTTCACAGACAACTTTAAGACGCGTGCACGTGACGTGAACATGCATATCGTGGTATACACGTCAGTTCATATCAGTGTCCTTCATTGATTGAGATACATTTGAAACGAAAACCTAACACCGTTTCTACTTAATTTTTTAAATAACATTTCACGTGAACAGCATTTAAATTAGGGATTGTAAACTTAAAACAAGTATGATCTGTAGTATGAATGTGTACGCGTGCAAATTTATTTACAAGATAAATGCAAACGTTATGCACACGTGATGACAGTAATATGATCAGCATCATTTAGTAATTTTTACTTTTATTTATTATAAAAAAACTATCTTTTTTGTTCCAAAAGGTGCCACTTGGTGAAGAAAAAAACCTTTTCCTTCTCTTGTTTTCAAGGTTGCTGTAAACTCACAGTTTAATTTATCACAAGTGTTTAATTATAAGCTTCGACTCCAGGGCATAACGTTTTGATTTCAAGATTAATTTACGACATGTGTGAAATTATTCTTGAAATTGAACATTTGCACAGGCGCTGAAGTTAATGTCCAATCTGCAAGTCTATAAGTTTATGGTAGGATTTTCTTTTTCAACTTCTCCAAGGTATGAATTAATATTAGCCTCTTTATGAGGTTATTTTAAAAGCAACTTTTTCAAAATCAGAAAATGCACTTATTTGGTGCCAAGTTTCTCTAAGGCAAATCCCGTGGTAGGTTAAATAAAAGGACTTGAGGCAACCTTTCTGTGAAGGGCAGCTTCATCACCTTTTTTTAATTCACTGCTTAATGAAGTCCTCACCGCATATTCGCTACGGTTCTGCAGTGCCACAATCCCTATTGCTCCTGCACATGAACTGCTCTCATTGCTACATCTTTGCAGTGTTGCTCTATTTCCACCGTTGGCTGCTATTCTGTCACCAGTCTTGCCCATATGTTATCATCTCTTCTTGCTATGTGTCATGTCCAAGCTTGATTAAATTACATCTTTTGTTCAATATTTTCCTATGCGTGTCCAATACATGTCATAGCAAGTAAGATGCACTTAAATCAGATTCTATAAAAACCCAAATGAATATCAAGTATTGTATCATTATGCCTAGGGTTGGAAGACTACAAAAAGTCATTAATCCAGCGAAAATGTTTCAGGTATCAATCGGGATCTTGGGCAGAGCAGTGCAGCCTTGCATGTTGGAGAATGGCCCACAAAAGTGGATATCACAGAGTTACCTCCGAGATACCTTCAAATGACCTCTGGTCCACGCAGTAGAGGGCAACACTTTTTCATCTACTCTAACACAATCAGAATATGTATTTTAACTGGAGGAATCCGATGAGGTATTCAGATTTTTTTCCACAGATGTCCAGCAGTCAAATTAAGTGCAGAACCAAGCTTAAGATGGGATTTTTTGTGTGCAGTCATTGGTGACCGTGCTGAGACCATCATCTTACCACTGATGGACCCGGTTTTAATTACATGCGGCTGAACCATATAGATTCCTAACCAGATTATCAGCGGGACTATGACGAAGGGCCAAAAATGTGCCTTAAAGAGCCATTGCCCGAAACGTCGCCAATTTATGCACGTTACATTTTAAGGCCACAGTGCCAAATACAATCGATTGCAGGAGAAGGAAGTGTGGGGAGAGGACGCCACTGTTTCGTTGAACAAGTCTGCCTTGTTTAGCGTTATAAAGGAATGGTCATTGCCTAACGTTTGTTGATTTAGCTTCTGTGATTGCGGCACAGGCGTCGCCTGCGAACACTTTGCACAGGGCCGCCGCGTTGCCATGGAGATGCGTCCGCGCGCGCCATGGCAACGGGCGGGCGGCAAGCGCGCGCACTGCGCATGCGCGGGAAGGTTCGCCCCCGCCCCCTCCCCCCACCCCACCCCGCCCCCCCCCGACCAACAAAACACCGATTCGTTTTCCCACCGCGCATAAGCCGCGCCCGCAGCCTGATTGGTCGCGGGGGCTTCCTCGCGCCCCGAATCACGTGCGCGCTTGGACCAATCAGACGTGCCGAGCGCCGAGTACTCCGGCGCGTCCGGTCTAGGAAATCTAATCTCGAAGCCGCATTAAATCAAAACACAGCCGGTTGGGAGAGCGCTCATTTAAAGCGACGTTTATGTCTTAAATTTTATCGATCGGTTTCAATAGCAACGATTAATCGTCGTGTATTTGTGTGTGTGCGTATATAATAAGCACACGGAACAGCTGAGCGACAGCGATGCCGGTAAATGCTGCTTGCACGCGACATTGTTTAATGGTGACACTAGCGCGCAGTTTCGCGTAGGCCCTGTGCATTAACGCATTACAATACATCGGTCGCGTGGTTTACTAACGTTCATGTCGTTACTTTTAATCGTGGCCTTCGCTGCGGTGCTGTGCGTTACACGATTTAAGTCGGGTACGCGCAGACGCGTTATTATTAGCACGTCATATGGATCGGTAGTGTTTTGGGGAGCGGTGGTGCAGCGGTTAGCGCGCTGCGTTACGAACCCGTCGGCCCGAGTTCGATTCCCGCCCACGGCTAACACCGGTGACGACTTTGTAATCGGTCCTGGGCCTCCCCTTGATCGAATCGGCCTCAAATGAGTACCTGGTGCGGTGTGTAAACATCGCCACTGGGGGAGACAAAGGCGGCCGGGCGTGGTGCTGGCCTTCATAGGTGCTACTCGCTAACAGCACTTGCCCAAACAGTCTGTTAAGACTACACGGGGGATCTTTGTCTTGTACGGAATGATTGTAATGTCCTTTATATATTGCGGTGTGTACGTACTGCAGGGCGTATGCTATATGGTTTTAGGGTGTGTACTGTGCATAATCCATATTCATCGTAGTGTGCGCTTATATATTATTCTTTGGTTCTTTCGGTAAAATCACGTAGGTAAAAAATGAAATAAAAATAAGGAATTCTATTTCCGACCATTGCTAGCATCGGTGGCGAGCACAATTAAAACCCGTCTTGGGCCTCTAATAGGCGAACTCGTCCTTAAATTAGTCCCCGGTCGTGATTAAAACATCAGCACTGGCCTCACTCAACTCATGCGTCGCTTGGGCTCCAATAAATACGCGGTAACGCTCCAATAAGCCTGTTAAAAGACGTTCTGTACTTGTACATTGTAATGCGTTTTGTAATGTGTGCTTCATTTTCTGCACAGCTGTGTATGTGCTATGCGCACCTTGTTTATTGTATACGGTACTGTAGTCTCTACATATGCATTGTAGGGTGTAATGTCAGTGCTATGCATATTCGGTGTGTTATGCATTGTGTGCTGTACTGTTTACATTTAATTTGCATATCAATGTGTTCCGTATACATTGTGTATACTGTACACATTGATTGCAGCTTTGTGTACCGCAGTGCTTTCTGCATAGGTATGTAGTAGTGGTAGTGTGTACTGATAATATGGACCTGCCCTTCATGGGATTCAATTCATCAATTTATTCATGTTTGTTTGCCTCATTTGTATGCTATGTAATCCCTTTCATTTCTACCATTAGGTTCAAGGGCAAAAACGCATAAACTTTGCATGAATTGAGAATAATGTACGCACAATTCCATGCATGTGTTGTGAATATTAGAGTTAATTAAACCCGTGGATACGCGTGCGGCACAGTGCTATATGATGTGATTTAAGCAGATGACAGCCCCTTACTGTTTTTTAAATGTATACGTCATTTATTAGGATTTAATTGTACTTAACGGCAATAGTAGTCATCCTATGGAGATGTTTATATGCTGACATCGGAATGTGGGCATTTCTGGCGCAGACTTAGGGCTGTCAGCCGATAGGAGCACTGACCCATGTTACCTTGAGCAGTGGATATACCGACCTGTCTATAGTACAACTACAAGTGGTGGGTGCAAACCATTTATTATCAGGAGACGGACTCTTTGGTTGACTGGCAATTGGGGTCATAATGTAAGTTTTTGGAAAGAGGCATAACTTAATTTAAACTTAAGTGCCACGCCTGCCTTATTTGAATCAATACTATCTCCGGGCTGTCATTTTTGTTGGCTCACGGACTCCAACATTTGGGCCAAGTCTCGGATGTTATACCCTTCAAGAACATAATTCGTGTAGACATACGTCACTTGGTTATGATTATCCGCATAAATTAGATTCATGTTTGCCATGGTGTAATGGTAAGCACATTGGAGTTGAGAGCTCACCTGTTCGATTCCACCTTCTTTTGAAACAAGCAATGGACCAGCTTATTAAACCCCCTTTGCTGTCCACCCAGCTCTATATTTGGTACACCACAGGCTCCCACCTCTTCCAAGATGTCTCGCCAGTGTGGAAGAGTAGGCCAAATACTCTCTAGAAAGGCTTCTTTGAGCTCCATCTATTGGAGGCCTTTCCGCCAGCAATGGCGTGGGTAACCAATTGCAGAGCTGCACCTTTACTCTTTCCCTTTGCATAGCACATGTGATATAGTATATACCATATGTGTAAGTTGGGGAAACATTTTCGAACAGGCATTGATTGTTGTCTGAGGATTAATTCTTTGCCTCACAAAGGACTCTTTGCTCTGAGACCAAGATACACCAGAAAGGAAGCCTCCAACCCCCATTTCCTACAGTCTGTAAATTATTCACTTTTAAAAAATGGCATTCTTGTGTTTAACCAGTGCAAAGAGCATGTACATGCTCTTGTATACACCAAATGTAATGCAGTGGCCAAGGCTTGAGTCACCAAATGTAACGATGCATTGTTAACGCCGAGGAACTAGCCTGTGTTATCCATCTTTTATTGCACTCAACGTGCACAGCGAAAGGACCGTCAGTGTGGGCAAAAATAATCCATAACAGTCCGAACATTAACAGAGTGCAATATGTTTGTCTAGCATGGCAAATTTTCCGTTTGGCATTCGGACAGACTTTAATTAGAACTTGTTTTATGTTTAATGTGAAATGCAAAACAGCTCTTTCTCCTTCTGCACTATTAAAATGCCATTTACAGTCCACGATAATTGCACTGCAACATCTAACAGAGCTAGCTTTTCCCTGTGTGCAAGGGTTCATCCACGCCATGTTTGGCCTACTGGCATTGTGGGTCAAGCACACGTACTATCAAAGGTATTTCATATGTGAAGGTGTCCTAATCAGAGGGGGGGGGGGGGGGGGGGAAACATCGCATGGCAAGACTACACCTTTACCACCAGAATATGGCAAATCAAAGCCAGTGCTTTTTTATTTTTTGCATTTTGTTCTCGAAAATACATTTTAGAAAATCTATTATTTAAGTAATTTAATATGTAAATGTACAAACGTAGTATATATCTTCGTTGGTGTTCTACCTTAGCAGTAGGTCCTTGGCTGTCATCTTCTCAATCCTTTCAACTCCCAATCCTTGCTCTTCATTTCTTTCCCATCCATTCTGCCATAATATTCTTCATAAAACCATCTCCTTGTAATAATGTGTTCAATATCATACTTTCTCCTTCTAATGACCTCTGTCGTTCCTATTTGGTTAATGCCATTGAAGATTGCTTCACTGGTCGTCTTCTCCTATCCAGCTTACTTTCTGCATCCTCCGACCGTCTTGCTTCGTCCTTAGTGTCTACGTTCCTGCTCCATATAAAGCTACGCTCCACACAATTGTCTTCACTCTCTTTACCGTTTCACTCATTGTTCTTGTCGACAACTTTATTTTTTAATGCCCCTTTCACCACCAATTCTCGATCTAATTTTCCGCATCCCGCTACACACCGTCCATCTTTGGCGATCTGAGTGCCTAAGTACCTGGATCTCTTCACCTGTTCTACCAATTGACCATAATTCTGGATATTCAGCCTTCCTCCACCTTCCCTTGATATTCCCATCACTTTAATCGTGTTTACATTTATCCTCATACCACTTATTTGGAATGTCGTGTAACCCATCCATGAGCCTTTGCAGTTCTTATTATCTGATTGCCCATCATCCCTTGATCAATAGAGAATTACAGTCCAACATTTTTTGTTGCATTGCCCTCAACTGTCTACCACATAGTCCTGCAAGCGCTATAGCAACCTGTGTGTGCAGTGTGGTCACCCATTCAAGCGCTGTCCAGGCGCAATTCCACTTAGCTGACGATATTTGATGAAAGATAGTGCATTCTGGGAGATTTACTAATAGACTCTACAAGTAGTTAAAGGCCACAACAAACTGCTCATGCTTGCCCACAGTCACTTTGCTCAACGGTGCTGCTTTTCCAACCTTTTATCTCTCTTTGTAGTGCAACAGAAAGGATTGCACTTAACCTGTCATAAGTTTTATCCATGAAAAACAACAGATGAAAGTCCCACTACATCGACAATCGGTTTGCTTTTGCTTCCAGACATTTTTGCTTCGGAAGAGTCTTCATCTTTTTTTGCGGTGTGGCATGCACAGGCCAATAGGTCGGAAAAGTCGGACTCTGGAGGGGACAACGTGAAGGTGGTGGTGCGATGCCGCCCCATCAATGGCAAGGAGACTGGAGCGGGCCACCGCATGGCCGTCCTTGTGGACGAAATGCGAGGCCAGATCGCCGTGCAGAGACCCGACTGCAACGATGAGCCGCCCAAAACGTTCACCTTCGACACGGTGTTTGGGACCGAGAGCAAACAGGTGGACGTGTACAACCTCACGGCGAGACCCATCGTCGACTCGGTGCTCGAGGGATACAATGGTGAGGGGATTGGAGTTTGGCAGGATGGTCCCAGGTGCTGAGCAATGAGCGGCAAATACATATTTAAAATGGCGATCGCTCGTGCCTATTTCGGCTAAATTAAGACATTTCCTTCGCTTCGTGTTAAATTAAGTTGAAGATCTTTAATCCTGCCAAACAGCTAAATAGGGAAATGATTTGCAATCAGCGTTTCTTGGCTTTCAAAGTGTATCCTGTTTGCGCTAAACTCTCTGGCTGGGTGTTGTTCATTACTTATGTTTACTTTTGTTTTATTTTTACTCGCTAGCATTACATTTTGAATGCCGCTCTGCTTTCTTCGCGTGGAGTTGTTTTTCCCTGTATAAAATGACAACATTGACAGTTTTTTTTAAGACTTCCATTTTCCACCCCTGAGTAGTTTCCTTCAATGTCTCTATTTTATTATCAACTATTCAATTTCAAGTTTTTTTCATTTTGGTTGTGTACTTAAGCCAATCTAACCAGTTATTTTTTTTTACATTCCTCAAGGTACAATATTTGCCTACGGGCAGACGGGGACTGGTAAAACCTTCACCATGGAAGGCATTCGAGCTGTGCCAGAACTGAGAGGCATCATCCCAAACTCATTTGCACACATTTTCGGCCACATCGCCAAGGCGGAGGGGGATACCAGGTTTGTTTTCTGAGAGCCGTGTTCCAAAGCCTGCTGTGCAACAAACAAACAAAAAAACGTGTGCTCGAGTTAACACGACACAATTTCAACGCCAATGATTATGCAGTTTATATTTTCTGAAATGTTATCTCGTGAGTGTGTCATTCTGAATAATACCATTATGCGGTGAATAATGAATCGGTTGAAATTTTCCATATTTTTAGAATGCTGCATATCTATCGTGGTGTCCTCAAAATAATGCATGGCCGTGACTGAAATGCTTGTTGACACATGAGACAATAGCCAGGCAAGATGATTTGCATTAACACTCTGTTGCTTGTAAGAGGTTCCAAAAAGTGTGAATCTAGTTTAAGTGAGAAGTAGTAACAATTGAGAGCAAGTGCAAAGCTCTACACTATATTCGAAGTTTCAAGCAACTTGGAACATTTTTGGCTGTTAAGATGTTTATATTTTAGAGCATGTGGGTAACATATTGCTGGCATTGCTTGCTTAACAAAAGCATAAAGGCCCATTTTTGGGAAGGAGAGGGCACCGTGACATCATTTGACTCGATATCCCTTGCCAGGTAAAGTGTTAAAATAAGAAAAGCGCCACGGTTGCCAGGCTGCGTGAAAGCGAATCGCGGCATGGTTCCAGCACTGGGCCGAGGCAGCGGAGCAGCTCCCGTTGCGCAAAAAGGAAGGCGTGTGCTGCATGTGGCATAGAGCCAGAGCAATGCTTACCCTTCCCTAGGACAGATGCTAATGGCCAGAGCAATGCATCGCTGCATAAATGCGAGTGCGAATCTCAGAGGAGCTGATTATCACGTGAAAATGGAATAATTATAGGCCTGGCAGTCCTGGCGAGGGCTCTGTAGGCGCGCGCTCTTCCCTTTCAAGCTCGCGAGCGGTGCTGCGATTTTTCCCAGAGCCCGCCCGCCTGTCTGATTCGAGCCGGGAGATGTGCCTTTCATTGCTGAGTGATGATGTCAGGCGGCTTGTCAGCGGCACAGGCCACCGTGTGGTTTGCTGTAATTGAGGAGCTTGTCTGCCCCTCTCTCGCAGGGGCCCCATGCACATGCTTTGAGTTCTAATGAGGCTTTTGACTGCCAGGCTCTGTCCGTGTTGTCACAAGATATGCTCAACTCGAGCCTCGTTCCTGGTGCACTAATTAATTTTGCACGTCACTTTTTGCAAGCAGAAGAGCAGCTTGTTCTCTTCAAAGTAGTTTTTCAAACAAACATTTCTGTAAACTTTGGCATTTTAGACAGTGTAAACCATGGACATTTTATGTTAAGATAACAGTTTAAGTCGGGGTCAGTTACATTTGAAGAGCTTTATATTTGCACCTTACCATCGCACGTAAGAAATGGAAGTGGTGTTGGGAGTGATAGCTATGATTAATTTTATCATGTAAATAATGTTAATTGGACAGATTACTCTAAACTTCTGTAAAGAATCGTTTTTACATTTAAAAACTTTACATCGTGCTTAACGTTTCACCACATTGTGTAGCAAGTTGTGTTGCAGCACACGGGATTCATTTTAGCATTCGCAACATTAAATTTGGTTCTTCTAGACTCCCAGCATTATTTAACATAGACTGGCCTGCCTCAATTAGCCTGGAGAGGGAAACATTCGGTATGCATGCATGCGGCAAGCCCGCTTCTGTGGATTGTTAGTGCTGTGCACCGCACATCAGATAGCCGCTGCATACACACACACACACACATCATCTGCATTGTCCTCGGTATGCAGCTTCACGGGCTAGTTTGCATGTCAGCACGCATGTGCATTGACAGAGACTTGACAGCTCGTAAGAGGGAGAGGGAGGCATAAGGGCCGCTCCCCTGACTATTGCATTTGTTTCATCTCGCCTGTCGACAGGTTTCTGGTGAGAGTCTCCTACCTGGAGATCTATAATGAGGAGGTGAAGGATCTACTGGGGAAAGACCAGACGCAAAGGCTGGAGGTGGGGCAGGGGGTGTTTTTTTGTGGTGTGGTGGGGGGGTGGGTTGTTTGGCTGCATGCTAACCCTTCCCATTCATTGCCTCACTCCCATTAGCAATAATACAACTAACCATGAGTGTTTTTTGAGGACAAGGAGGCGTCACAGTCTTATTGTACAGAACACTGTCCACTCTGTGCGTTACACTGTAATTGGTCATTGAGCTGGTATGAATTGGAAATAGCAGGTGTTTTCATCCGAGAAAATTTCCACTGCGATTGCCTTCTCATTCATGCGCATTGCCACTGCTAAGCCCCCTTACTCTTTCATTATAACAGTCGCCACGGTAATGCTGTACGCACATACAACCCTGTGACAGTCTTTTGGTAATGCATGCCTACAGATGTGTAGCACTTGTAAGCGGAGGGCATTATTACATGAAGAAAAAACAGTAAATGTGCCTGAATGGATTTCCTCGCTTACAATGTAACTGTTGCTTAAAGGCCTGCAGACATTTATTGTTCTCCCTGTGGTTCACGCTTTACGACTGATGAGCGGGTATAACACTTGCATTTCTGTTTCCACGGCAGATACACAATAGTATTCCTTTACAGTACAGTTATTTTACAAAGGTTAAATGGGTTGTAATATGCATCAATGTTTACTTTATTTTTTAAAAGAAGCTCTTTAGAGCCCATGTATTTTATCTGCTATGGAAATGTAAAGAAATTACTTTATCAAAACCAAGGTGCAAAATAAAGGCATTTACATTATAAACAGCACTTACGATAAAAAATTGTGTAATCTTAAAAAAACGTATACATTTGGGGAACACATGGAAAAAACTAATTCGATAAATTTGGTGCTCAGGAATATTAAGTGAGGCGAATTTCTAAATTCTAAAGGCAGTATGCTCGACAATATTGCACACCATGGACATGTTTTTTATGATACAGATTGTTTTTTATGGAAATTTAAATTATTGGTGAAGCCTACATAACAAGTGGTGAATTTTCCCATCACATATTGGCCTGCATAGGAAGTGCCGATCTGTATTACTTGTATGGAATGAAGATGAAATGTTTCTTGTCTCCAGTTTAGAGGGCATATTACTAAGTGATGCACTAACAGTGAGGGGTTTTTTTATTTAACAAGTTAATCTTGGCATTGTTGAACAAATTCAAATTTGACATCAAAAATATTATTTTACATACCTGTCATATGACACGTGCAGGAATTGAATTATGTAAAGTGTATATCATTGTATATTGATTGTTTTAAATGAATAAACATCAGTCATGATCTATTTACTTCTCGATGAAGGCCTTCCAATGTCATCTCCATCCCTCATGGTCTTGCAATGTAAATCTTTCTCGCTTCTGCGCGCGTGCTGATATCATCGCTCTATGGCGGTCATACTCTCAGGCATGTTTCCGGCTTTGGTTGCCACTGCCCCTAGTCAAACCATCGGCAATCATCACTTCTATAAATGTTTCTTGCCCAAAGCCCCACGTACTCGCGTTAGCAGTTGATATAACGTCTATAATTTGTGTATGCATTCTAATCCATATGTTCCTCTTTCACATGTCCATGCTTGTTTCTGAATTCACGGCACGGAGGAAAAAATATTCAGTTTTACAAAAGCATGCAAAAATGCTCTTGCGTCACCTCTTTCATAATTTTGATCCCATTGACTTTTGATAATTACCTTTTAAGTTAAGATACCTTCAATGTATAGCTAATTAAAATTCCTTCATGGGCTACAGCTTAAGAATTGAGAAATGTTTTAGCTTTGGCACCTTAAAGCAGGTCAAAATTGTAAAGGTGGATAACTGTATAAAGTATATACATCCTTGTCTGGTTATTGAAAATATATCATAGGTCTCAAGGTTACAAGTCAACATGTTCGTAAGAATTAGAGAGACAGCATCGCAGTAGATATTCAATGTATTTGTTTAGTTTCTTACAATCAGAGTGAATTCTGGCTTAAGCTTTTCCACCGTTGGGATTCTTGTGGCAGGTGAAGGAACGTCCCGATGTGGGTGTATACGTTAAAGACCTGTCTGCGTTTGTGGTGAACAATGCCGATGACATGGACCGGATTATGACCTTGGGGCACAAAAACCGTAAGTGGAAGGGCATTTGCGCGGTCTGCTCATTAGAGGTTATTTCACAGTGATGGCTTTGGGCATTGCTTTTCTGAACGTCAGCCTGGTATATGAAGGGCTGTCTGCCTCAAACTTTATGTTAAGATGATGATCTATCCAGATGTGCCCTGCTACATGGAAGTAGCCTCATATTGCTGCAAGTCACTTTTTTTGACAGTAAAAGATTCATGAATTGTGTCCAGGCTAGTTTAAACTTTTTCTTTGTTTGAATGTTGTTTCTTGTACACACTCGATCAATAACATGTCAAGAATTTTTTTTGGTTATCAGGCTCGTGCCAAGCTGCCTAAGCTCGCAGAGGTGAGAGATTGTTTCAGCGTTGCCACAGTCGAGGCTGATCCCCGTACTGTCTTGCCACAGGTTCGGTGGGTTCCACCAACATGAACGAGCACAGCTCGCGTTCCCATGCCATCTTCACCATCACCATTGAGTGCAGCGAGAAGGGCGTCGATGGCAACATGCATGTTCGCATGGGCAAGCTTCACCTTGTTGACCTCGCGGTGAGTATAAGCCCCATGTACAAGTACCATTCTAAATTTAAGGCACGTATAAATGTTTTATTACTGTTGACACTTGCCAGTTAAAAATGTTTCAAATGGGTACTCCAGTGTTTGCCATTATATTGCGGTCAATTTCAGTGTTTAAAATAATGTGAAGGAAGTGTAACTGCTTGCTTCGTCGGTGGTGTCCAGTCCAGATTTACCCTGGCCAAAGAACTTTGTTCATCTCACTTTTGGATGAAAGCCTCCCCCACACCACATTGGATATGGGGGTTGTACATTGCGTATCAGGGCCCCTGACTTAGTTATCGCTCGTCACTGACATTAGCCGTGGCCGGGAATTGAACTCTGGTGACTAGGTTTATAGTACAGTATTCAAAGTGCTGTACTGCTCTTAGCCAACCAATATTTAGAATCGGTGTAAAATATTTCTGTGGGTTGACGGCAAGGTGGACAACAGTGTTGCCTCACTTGAATCGGTGATATTTGACTGTCACTAGACGGTCCATGATAATGTTCTCTGATAACCATAATTCACAGTACAGTAACATTCACCTGTATGCCCACGCCAGGGGTCTGAGCGTCAAACAAAGACTGGGGCCACCGGTCAGCGCCTCAAGGAAGCCACCAAGATCAATCTGTCACTGTCTACCCTCGGGAACGTCATCTCCGCACTGGTCGATGGGAAGAGCACCCACGTACCCTACCGCAACTCCAAGCTCACTCGCCTTTTGCAGGACTCCCTGGGGGGCAACTCCAAGACAATGATGGTAATTGTTGTGACTTCACTAAGAACGGTTTGCATCCGGGATGCCACTAAAACCATTCACTCCATCAGGATCATTGATCATTAATCCATACCCTATATTGCACATTGCTGTGGAACAGCTTGCGTACCACTTTGTGGGAAGTCGGCTGAGGTTATCGTATGAATATATTTACCCCAGCCATAGAAATGTGGAACTTCTGCCAATTACTCAGTTCTATAAGAAGGAGAGTAGCACTGCACCATGTTCTTCACAGTGTCAAACCGCTGACCTTTTTACATGGCGGGATAGTTAAGTCTATTCTATCACATCGCAGCCAACTCGCTTCAATATCTGCCGCGTGTGAACATGTGTCATGCTGCACTTAAGACAACATGCACATCCATCTCTGGGAGGTGGACTATGTTTACTGCAAAAGTTGAAATGACTCTCCAAGTGGACTCAAAGGGGCCAAACTACTTCCCACTGCTCATAGTGCCACAAGACATGAATACTCTATTACTTATTACTATTAAATAAACTTTTTTTGATGTTTTATAATTCTTAATACAATCTGTCATTTAACAATGTGATTCATAAGTTTTGAAATTGACCGAAACAACCAAAGAGTTTGGATTCCTGCAGTCACGAAAGCTTCAAATCAAGATTGTTGTTGTTGTTTTTATTATTAATAGCTGTGTTTACATTATTCATAGTTTTAAAAAGTTGCGTTACGATGGAGACTGGATAATGGTAATATGGTTCAAGTGCATGATGCTCATGGCTTTGTTAGGAATTCATGTTGCAATTATCGCCTGGTGATGTGATCACAGGAGGTACGAGCAGTACACATAGGTCAGGGCTTCTCGTTTCATGCTAAATTCGATTTCCTCGTGAATCTGAGATTGCAACCAAATCGTGACTTTGCTTGCCATGTAGAAGGCCGTAAAAGATAGCCGGTAGAAAATGCAAGAATTGAAAATAATGCAACTTATTCACTTTTCCTGATGTATACAATTGGTGGTTTCTCTTTTTAAAACATATGTTTGAAGTTCGAAATTGGACTTCCGTGTTAAAAGGTGTACATTTAGCTGTGACTACATCCCTGCTTTTACGCAACTTGGTCCATTTTTCGGTATATTTTCATTTTTAATTATATTTTTTCAAAATGAATTTCAGTAACATGTATTGTCCAATCAAGTAATATGTGAAGAGCAAATAATTGCAAGCATTTACTAATCTGCTAAACTGATGACTCGCATTCAATTTTTAGTTAGATTTTCTTGTACTTTAAATAAATACTAAGTCCCTGCAGCATGTCCTGGCCATAGCTTCTATGTCAGCCATATGCCTTGATCATTATACACTCAAACATTTTATAAAGTCTACTTAATTTTATGTTGATTTGGAATTAATGAATAGCTGAAATGAGGACCCTGGTTACAAAAAGATAAAAAAGATGCTAAGTGGGTATCCGCGGGTCTGTATTTTTATATATATATTACGCTGTGGATTCTGGCTGACAAAAATAAATCACATGAGGGTTGGGTACATCAAGCATACACACTTCGGGCAGCACCGACTGTGGTGCTCTCTGACCTCGTTTCTCAAGATTTCACACCTCAAAAAAATCCCGCCTTGACTCTGCCTCCCCCATTTTCCAGTGTAATTAGTTCTGTGGGGATTTCAGCCAGCAAATAAGCTTCATTATCACGCTGGCGGTGGGGAGTGTGTATCGGGGGGTCGGGGGATGGAACGGAGGCGATGTGCAAAAAAAAAAACTTATTCAGGGGAAGGAAAAAAAGTACCTGGGTGGAGGAAAAAGCGTGCCTTTTCTCGTCAGTGCATTAAACATGACGATTTAAAATTTATCAGGATGCAGAGGCATGTCTCTCAGGTCCACTCTGCAACCCAGAGCCAAGTTCTGAACCTGTGATGTTCTGGCCTGTGATAGGCATCCGCAATGAATCTCTGGTCTGCCATCCCGGCTATACTGTTAACAAAAGTTGGTTCGAAACTTGCCATGCAAAAAGCTGTGTACTTAATCCCACATCATTTCACACCTGCTGTCTGTTTTCCCATTTAATTTCGCGTGCGCTATTGCCCTCCGCACTTGCTCCTTTTAATTAAAATGACTGACATTTGGACTTAAAAAAATAAACTACGTAATTTTAAAAAAATGTACAAAGCACAAACTTTATTAAATTACATGTTCATTTAGTTGCATCTTTAATTGCCTGACAACATAATTTCACAGTGAAATGCCATTTTGGACATCTGTATATTTTTTCGCTAAAATTGGCAGCTTGTTCTTTAGAATTTTGTAAATATGCAATATAACAAATGTAATAATGTTCATTAGGTTTTCGCAAATAACGCTTGTCGGTTTGTCTCGGTGGCCTTCAAGCAAATGCACCCTACGCTGGCCGAGCTCAAATAAAATAGAACACTTGGCCACGTCAAAACGATATAAGCCGCGCCGCATCTTCACGCTTAAAGCAACATCCGTGCCAATGCAAATTATTTTTGTGGGAAATTTAACGCGTCGTGCTCACACCAAACTCGGGGGGCATTCCCGCAGAATTACCAAAAGTGTTTTTGAATCTCATTTTGTCCGCAGTGTGCAAACATTGGTCCGGCAGACTACAACTACGACGAGACGATAAGCACACTGCGCTACGCCAACCGTGCCAAGAACATCAAGAACAAGGCACGCATCAATGAGGACCCCAAGGACGCACTGCTGCGCCAGTTCCAGAAGGAGATTGAGGATCTGAAGAAGAAGTTGGCGGAGGGTCAGTGCTGCCGAACCACGAGCACAATTCTAGTTTCCACCGCTGCCTCCTCTCTCGCGTTCTGACGACGATGTAGCTGTAGACAAAGCGGTAAACGTGGCATCGCTGTTTAATTGTCTTATTAAATATATATCTTCATGGCTTTTAGGTGATTACTAATATGTTGTTACTGTACGAAGGGAAACATGCTGGCATTAATTGTAAAAACTGAATTCGATTTTTGTGTATCTCTACCTGCAGTAAGGGAGATACTTACACAGCAGGAATGAAGGAATTCAAAATATAATTCATCCTTGCCGGCTTTATTTTTACTTTAAAGTGCTTTCTTTTAGTATGTTAGAACAACCGTAATTGTTTTAAAGTATCCAGCTACTCAATGCGTTATGAATTTGTTGGTGGTACAGGATATATCATTTTTAAGTATACTTTGTGGATACTATGATGACAACATGACTTTAACGCATATATTACAGGGGAAAATCAACACAATGAGTGCATTGTGGGATTATTCTCACGTGTTGTGAAGTTCAGCTTTAATTAACTGCTCACTTTAACAATGCTAGTGTTCTTGTGTAACGAAATAAGAATGCAAATGAGTTCCATTTGTCTGAAATGTGGTTTATGCTCAAAATAGTTCATTGAAACTTTACAGCCCTTTGTCAATCTCGGGTGGTTTGAGGTCTCCCCCTGCCTTTTGATCACGTGGGGTTTGTTTGACCGCACGTGACCACGCGCAGCAGTGTGGGTTCATAAAGACGGGGGTCTGGACCGGTTGTGATATCACTCACCGCTGACGTAGGCATGATGGGAAATTGAACTCAAGTTGTCTGATTAAGTGAAGTGTGATAACAATGGTAGCACTCAAACTTCTGAGGGTAGAAATAATTTGAACCAATACTAAATGTAGGACTTGCTTTAACTCTAGATACAGTCACAGTAACGATAACATCAAAGTGCACAATTTATTGTAAATCGCACATGCAAGTGTATCTTTCATGTAACTACATGGTTAAAGCCTGCAGTGTGCTATTTTAAAATTCAAAACCTATCCTATAAAATCACATTTCTCACGAGCCCAGCAATGTTTGAAAGCCAGCACAAAATAAAGTTTGATGACATTTAACTTTGAACTGCCTGACAATATTTTCCATAAGGGATCAACAGAGTAGATTCTTTTTGAACAACATCTATTTTGCTAAAGGAAGTGCCTCACCGAGTTAATTAGTTGAAGGTTTCATTGGGCCAGTAACCGTGTCAAGTTACATAGTGTAATCGCAGTGATTAAACTACCAGTGTGAATATGATAAAAGGCAGGGCCTTTAGGAAAACGATAATTTGAATGATGCGCCCCTTGCCTCTGGCCAGTCTGTTTAAATTTACATGTAAATTGATTTTCTTGCAGCTGCTGGTAAGAGTTTGTATTTCTGACATAATTGCCCGCAAGGTGTTCTAACTTCCGAAAGTTCTTTTGAGAATAAGCCGCTAGTCTTCCACACACGTGCCCTTAATCTGCTTATCGTAAGTGGTCTTAATGAGCACTTTTTTACCCGATGTCTGTACATTTTTCACTCGAAGCATGTGTGTATTTAAGACATTTTAACAACAAAAATCAAGATCAAATGCTTAAAATAGGGCATTGTCCCAATAGTTTGATTAGTAATCTTAAAGAACTGAAAAAAAACACTTATACGTCAATTGTCCTTTTATATAGATTATATGATATCTAAAAAAAAACTCTTTATTAAATTGCATTCAAATGCATTCAGATGCCAAACGATAGTTTTAGAAATGTAGCTCACGTGTTATTCATATAGAGTATCATTGCAATTCTTTTGTTTTCAAAATACACGACTGGCATGTATACAAGACATTTTATAAAACTTAGGCAGGGCTCACTGTCCAAAGCATACAGCTGTCTTCAGAGATGGTGCTTGCTTCATTTCCATATAAAAAGAATGTGTAATTACTTTTCTGCGGCAATTACGTTTCATAGAAAAGCGCAGCATGCAACACAAATAAGATATGAAGCTGCCTGCAAACCACACGTATTGTATTAAGCCGACCACCTTTTTCACTACCATGCTAATGTTAATATATATATAACGCTTATATTATGATCGGCAACATTTTAGGGTAAAAGAGGTTTCAAACGTGTATATGCATTTCTAGATATTTGCCTTTCATACTAATGGTATAATGTTCAGCCTTTTGTCAAACCCTGCCTGAATAAAGGCCTCCCCACACTCTGTAAGTTAACAGGATCGTTTGGCCATTCTTCACCACACTTGTCAGTGCCTGTTGGTAAATGGATAGCTAAGACCAGTTTAGATGTTAGCCATGGCTGGGAATCGAACCACTAGGTTCACAGCACGATGCGCAAACCGCTGTGCGAACACTGCCCGATATTTGCCTTTAGCTATTTTACAAGCAGATTTATGAAAATATTGGGGTTAAGTCATTGCGTTCACATGGCTGGTATATCCATGACTTAGGACTTAGAAAAACAATTGAAGATGCCTTCATACACAAGACCCATAGCACATGAGTTTTAACAAAAAAATCAATACCACAAAACAAAGCAGAGATAAATACTAATGGGTGCCAATTAGTAAATGTAAATATATAGGCATCAACTGTACCAGTTTTACAGCGGTGGTTATACATTTTCAGCCCTTTGTCAATTCCTTACACTGTCAGTTTTTTTAAAATCCACAATTCACCATCCTGGTCATTGTGGGTTTGTCGGGGTGGGGGGCAGGGGGTTTGCGCGCCCAGGAGCAGTTCATATATCATGCACCACTAATATTAGGGATGGCCGGTAACCAAACTCAAAATCGTCAGGTTCACGGCACGCCAACCACTTTTCCTCCACTTCAAGATATATTTGAGAGTAAAACTTTCATTTGTTGTACAGCTGCTTTTTTCCCGAGTAAATAGACTGCATCTCACTCCCTCTAATACCCCTGCTTTTCCATTGTCTTCTAAAGCTGAAAAGGCCTCTTCTTTCTGCTGCAGGAGAGGAGGTGTCGGGGTCAGAGTTCAGCGGATCAGATGACGACGAGAAAGAAGGAACGGAAGGGGGTGACGGCAACGAAAAGCGAAGGAAGAGACGAGGTAAAGCGTGACCCCTCCAACGATTCTGACTTTAGTCATGCCTTGGGACAACGGCAGCCATATCGGGGTGCTGTTTTAACAGCAGGGTTCTGGCGTGTTTTGTGTGTGTATATATTTGTATGCTGCATTCGGAGTGGCAATCTTATCACAATATTGAGCAGCCTAGAAGTTTAGTCAACCAAGCCAGCAGGGACAAATTTCATTTGTTTTACAGCCCAAGCATCTGCTGCGATGAATTCAGTATGTATCGTTTGCTAGTACTCTTGATGCAGAATGACACGCAGTATTGCTTGCCAATATGTAAATGTTAGTTTAATTAGCCATCGTAAGAATCTCTATTAAGATCTCTTAATATTTTGAGCCACACATTCATTACAAGACATGTACATACATGATTTTACATTACCTATATGCGGGCAAACACAACTTTGCTAAGTATACATATATAAGTACCTACGTGCATTTACATTAAAACTTATATTGTCATTTTATATAACAATCGTCCATTACAAATTACCACACAGAAAATCTATATTGATAAAAAAAAATCACAGGTTCGGCGACTCAAAAAAAAAACCCGGGTAATGTGATCAGATTAAATATTACGTTAAACTTTGGATCCTTTCCTTTCAGGGGTCTAATTCACCGTGTGCACCAAAGCAAATCTTTGGAGCACTCATTATTGAAATCCTCCTCTGGTGTAAATTGACGCCTGGCAGATACTCGATTGGATCAATCCCCTCGTTACGGCAGAGTCACTCGCAGCCTGTGGCTGTTATTGGGCTGGACTAAATTTGGTCCACTGATTAAATCTTGCCCCAGGCAAAGCTAGGAGGATGCTTGGGGCCAAGAAATCCTAATGTATTCTTGGCCACAAACCAATTTAGTCAAAGTTGAACCCAATGTGTAGAAGAGGGAATTTTTTCTCCCTCTACGCTTATCCACAAGACTTATAAGTTTCGATTCAAAGCTAATGAAGCTTAAGAGAGTACTTACGGGCATATTTATCTGAAGATATCACCTACAAGTTAATAGCAATCTGTTGCGTGACGGGTATAATTGCAGTCTTTGAAGTGTATAAAAAATAAAAAATAAACTACATCAATTAGCTTATTACTGGATTTGGAAAGCATTTACCCTAATGTTCCTAAACCAAAGGTAGGTATTCCCTATTCCTTTTCTAACACGAATTAGTGTTCCAAAAATGTCACCGTTGGCACAATTCTGTTCAAATTTGCCCTCCTCTGTAGTGCTCTTTGTTTTTCGTCATGTTTACGCAAATCCGAGAAAGGGCTCGACAAGTAATTTTGTGGTTGCACATCAAAGCGCACGTCACCCGCTGCCCAAATGAGCACCAACTTTTAAGCAGGCGTCGCAGCGCGCCGTGCAAGCGCGCCGTCACCGCCGCATCATTAGCGTCCCTTTACGTGGCGGCAGTAACTACTTACTGTGCCTCCACCTGCCCTCGTGTGAACCCCCCTGGCGCATCTGAACCCCCCTCCTCTCTTCGCAGGCAGCACCAGCAGCAGTAGTAGTGACAGTTCCACCTGCTCTGTCAAAGAGAAACCCATGGACAAACCACACTCATGTGGCTGTGAGTGTGTCCCAATGTTGATTTCCCATGCCCTGCTCTCTCGCCGCCGCCTTTTGCTGTCCCTCCCATTTGCGCTGGTGACAAATTCTTAACAGTCTACCCTCAGGCCCTCTGTTCTCGGAATTGCGCTGTTGACCATGGGCAGGTGCTTCAAAAATGCTCGGCTCTTCTGTCAAGCGGGAAACACGCCTGCTTATCATTTGCATAGTATAGCATCGTTCACAAACAGAGTACGAGAAATTACGAAGATTTTGACAGTCAGATGTCAAGACTGAATAATCACATAAAAGTTTTTTGAAGAATTATTTAAACAGATCATTAGGGCCAGTCTTCACATCTATAAAGTATTTTATCAGCTTGAAGCCATCTCATTTTTAATTCTTTCTTGTTAATTTAATGGTGCAATTGCAAATTCAGCAGCACTTTTCAGACACTGCAGTTTACGATAAGCCACATTCTCAAGTTGCAGCCATAATGCAATAACCGTCATCATTTATCTCACATCACAGCCAAGATTATTGCCAAGTTGTTTCTCATGCACAGTTAATCCTGATCAAGAGTAATGCCACTTTCTATTTGCGATTCTGGGGTCTTTATCAAAGCAAAGGCTGTATTTTAGCATGGGCTTCTATGGCAAGCTGTTGTATTTGCCTAGAAGTTGAGATGCGCCTTATTTCCATATCAACCAAACTGCCGATGGCTAAAATATTTCATTTGCTGGCTGTCATCTTTCTGGCTGAAAAGGTGGGAGAATGTGGTGGGGGGGGGACTCTCCACAAACCTGTGTAATGTTATAGAAATATGTTTAAATTTGTCATGTAAATATAAATAAGTACTCCTGCATCTGTAAATTTAAAAGATTGAACAAAACGTTTGCTTAGTTTCGCAACTGTGAAACTTTTACGTATTTTTTTTGACATTGAACACACTCTGTGCTGCTGATGCATCACATTGAGAAATAAATAAAAATAACGACAACAACACGTGCACTCAAAAACAGAAAAATCTCATTAAAAGTCTGTCATGGGATTGCTTTGTTTTAAAGCAGTGACTGCCCTGTGCAGCAAAGCCCCCTCACCCCCTCTTCCCATCATGCTCGCCCCCACGCACGCACGCGCACGCACGCACACACGCGCTGGCGCATGCACGCGCGCACACGCTCACAGCCCCCACACGCGCACGGCTGTCTGCGGCTGACTGTGACGAGATGTGACTGGAGAGCGCAGGAGCTGCACAGTGCTTTGTTCTTTCCACGCTTTTAAGAGAGGCACGGGGGAAGCAGCCTGCTTCCCGGTGGGAGCACCTCACGGCCAGAGGAGCTGCCCCCAAACCATCCTTCGCTTTCTTTTCCCTCCCCCCAGGTCCCCTTTCCTGTGTGCCTGGAAGGGATTTGTCCACTTAAGCTGTGCTTGCCATGCGCTAAAAAACAACCTCCCTCTAGCAGAAATGCACTTTTCGTTTATTTCCGGGCCCTCTCCACCCCGCCCAAAGTTTTAGCACTTTGACGCTTTAGCAAGTGGCCTGCTCTATATAAGTTAGTGTTGTCCTGAGCCACTTTTCGCTGGTTGCAATTCCCCTGGGATGATGGACCACAGTCAAATAGAATGCGCTTACAACTAATAATATTAACGCAATTCAGCATATTACTTTGTCGGGGGGAAAAAAGTACGAAACTGACATGTTGCATTATAAAACGCACTGAATATTTAATAAAGTAGTAATTCAAATGTATATAACTTTATGGTTAATGCTCAGTAAAAATAAAAGCATAAGCACAAATATAAAAGTGCGGGTCAAACTTAGTTTAATTCCAGCTCTTTTTATGGTCCTGGCATTGTAAACTCCGTAGCGTAATAATCATCATTGGTTGAACACATTCCCAATGTCACCAAATTCATACAGGCAATACAAATTCCCCAAGCACTATACCACCATAATGGCAAGCTGGAACAGGTTTAAAACATGAACATATATTTACTTACCAAAAATATATGTGCTTAGTTTAAACGAAATGACAATTAAATGAGATTTCACTTTCAAAGGAATCGTGCTGTTTCAGAACATTGTAGGCTTGTAATTATTAACCATTGAAGTAAACTTTTAGCAGGGTGGGTGGGGATAGGAGCGGTGTTACGTATGGTGCGAAAGATGTTCAACATACATATTGGACATCGATGAAAAAGAGCTTCATAGCTCATCGGATTCCTGCAGGATAAGTAGAGATTCTGATGATAGTTGAGCTTATGAAGGATATCCCATTTTAATGTTGGTTGTAAGGTAATAAAAGAAAATGGGTGGAAATAAGCGAAAGTGCTTTCTTACAAGCAACTTAAAGTGCAGTGTGCTTCGAGAGCAGGTCACTACCATGCTGTTGCTAGCTCGTGTCCATCTCTTGCTGCGACTGACGAGAAACCCCCGGATACTTCTCCAGCTGTTTTCTTTGCAGGCTGTTACATTCTTCAGATGCGTTTTCACAGGTGACCACGTTCATGCTAGCTGGGGGCCTTCAGCTGGCTTGAAACGATTTTTATTGGGGCAAAGCAGTGAAATGGTGGAAGGTAAAACTTTTGCTGTTTATTGTCTGCCTCCGATCTCTTTCACTGCATGGCCATGCCGTTGTCAGAACAAGCTAATGTACTCGTGCTGTCATTTTAGAGTAATGTTAGGCACTTAAAAAAAATAAAAACAAATGTAATCACTTTCTTTCCTTGCTCTTTTCACGCTGCCTTCTGGCTATAAAATTCTGTACAAGACCAAACAGGTTTGTGTTTCAACTTTCTCAGCGCCCAGCATATTAAATGGCTTTGTATATGCATCCTATCATGTCGATGTAAATGTAGAGCAGCTTTTTTCTAAACAATATAGTCAAAATCTAGTCATTAGCGCACATTTATCGCTGAAAACTTTTAATTGGCGAGTGTCTAAAGAGTTTGTACTTCTGAAGAACCTCTCCTATAACGATATATCTTTAGGATAAAAGAGCCATTCCAATTTGCCTCATTCCTTCCCACATCTCGATTTATGAATGCAAATGTAGAAATAGGTTGAAATAACCCCTCTCCCCATACATAAACTGTTTAAATCTTAACAATTTTTTTTTACCTTCAATGTTTTATTTCTTTTTAGTTTTTTGCACTGATACTGTTAGAACTAACAATTAGTCACATGATAATTGGTTCTTTACCCTTCTATCTGGCAACAAAACTGACACCTTTTTGCAAGGAGTCATGTTTGCATAGACCGCAATACCTGCAGTCATAAATACAAACAAAAGACATAACTCTGATAATGTGCAGAGTTATGTCTTTTGTTTGTATTTATGACTGCAGGTATTGCGGTCTATGCAAACATGACTCCTTGCAAAAAGGTGTCAGTTTTGTTGCCAGATAGAAGGGTAAAGAACCAATTATCATATTTTTACTGGCAAATGAGGTCCCCATAGTGTAGTCACATGATTTGAAGACAATGGTGAAGAGTTGGAAAAATGCATATCACTGAACTAGGTTCTGGTTGTATATGCTTATAATGAATTGAGATTTTAAAAATGTAGAGTTTTGTGTTTTCAATGGATTTTCAAATTCTTTAGGAGCTAATTGGTCACTGGTCTGCCTTCACTAGACAGTTAAGAAATAACCATGTCAGCTATAATTGTTTCAGGTTGGACATTTTATCATTACATATTATTTTAAAGTGTGATATTCAGAAGTGTGGCACAAAACCCCACATGACTCTTATGTAATGAAAATAAATGTTAAACAGCCCAGTAGTATTATTACAAATGCTTAGCCAGTAGTTCCACAGTGCAGCAAATGACAAATCTACTCAATGAAAAAAGTAAGTCCATGAAAATTTCCGAGTGAAATACATTACTATAAAAATATAAATTTGTAGGCCTGTGGGCATTCTGGCCAAGTGCTACAATTAATGATTTTTTTTGGCAGTGTTTTATAACCACATATAGAAAAAGGCACACTGGCAAATTGAATTGTCATTTGATAGTTGAGCACAGGCACTTACTGGCTCCTAGTGGCTTTTCCTAAGCACTGCTGTTGGAGTGCAAAATTACAAATCTTGAAACAGCCTGGGCACAATGCCCATCATCATAAGTATTGCACTAATGTAGGTTGGTGAAAAAAAACTAAAATATTGACGAGCACTTTATGAAGTTTAGGACATTTTTCCTCAAGTAAAATCTTTGCCCAGTATGATTTTACTAAAAGCTGTTGTACATTTTTATTTAACACAAGGTATGCATAAATCATGGAAATTCATTTGTACTTTCATTACTGTCATTCTTGGCACACATGCACACGCATTATTATGCTCAAATATACATATTTACCCTTTACAGGAATATATTGCTAGGTTGATATTTTCAAATTAGCACTGAATGGTATTCTTAGTTAAATGTTCTTTAAATGAACCGATTTATTAATTCTATGCCTTTACACTGCAAATAGCCTTCATGACATTAAGAAGAAATTATTTCCAGCCTTCTCTCTAGGGCACACAATACCCATTGGGAGCAATTATTGCAGTTGGAATAAGGTATGCACCAAGGTTCTGCTGGGAAGCATTATTTTATTAATTTAATTTTCATAACGTAAAAAAGCGCAATTTGCCTTATTCTTCATCCTGCTTCAGCAATGCGATGTTGGCAGCAATAAGCCTTCCACCCACTTTTTGTCTATGGACAGCATGCAAATATATTTTAAAAATTCTTTACACACATTATTATGTCCTCTGTGCATGTGCACGTGTGTGTGCATGTACTGACTAGGCAAAAAGAAGATTCCGGTTGAGAAGCTAGCAGAGATGCAAGCAAAGATTGAGGAGGAGAGGAAGGCTCTGGAGGCACAGCTGGACATGGAGGAAGAGGAGAGAGACAAGGCTCGAGCTGAGCTGGAGCGACGAGAGAACGACCTTCTCAAGGCGCAGTAAGTCCTTCCATTTCCACAATCATTGTGAATACTATTGATGATAATTGGTTTTTTACCCTTCTATCTGGCAACAAAACTGACACCTTTTTTACAAGGAGTCGTGTTTGCATAGACCACAATACCTGCAGTCATAATGCAAACAAAAACATAACTCTGATAATGTGCACTGTCCTTGAAGTTGATTGGTCCACACCCGAGACCGCTTTCCTTAAAGCCTAGTCTCACATGGGTTGGACCAGATGACGCCAATAGGCGCACAACTCAAAGACAATGCACCATCAGAGTATGAGAGCTCGGTAAAAAAACAATTATCATATTTTTTACTGGCAAATGAGGTTCCAATGGTGGAATAATATTGATGCCGGGCAGAGCTACAGAACATATTCTTTTGCAGTGAAGGTGAATCGAAATGGTACTCTGGGAATTATCTTTGCAGAGAGAGAAAAGCCGGCCTGACAATAGCTCATATAAATATGTCAACCACAAGGTGGCATCGTCTTCCAGTGCAAGCAATGGCTAGAACCAATACAGAATTGACTCATCTCACACAAATGCTAAAATAGTCTTCAGATATACTTTCAATTCAGTATATTCGTGAAGCTTTGTTTAAAAAATTCTAAGCACTAACGGGCACAATATGAATTTTTAAGAATTTTTTGCTGGCCCTCTTCGTGAATCAAGTTGTATGAAGAAATAAAATCAATTTTAGAAAATACCCTGGAGCAGAAATGAGGCAACATCAAATTCCATCAAAAGTTCATCGCCTCCTGCTCACACAAAACAATACCATAATTTTTTCCTTTTTCTTTTAAACCAAAAACAAAATTGGCACTGAACCCCTTAAGGAATCAACAGCGTACGAGACTCGACATAAAACTTTCTCAGAATAATAACAAGTCCACTATTCCTGCTGGGTGAATATAGCTGTGCTTGCTCACAAAGATTGTACGATTCTTCTTGGGATCTCTGGAGGGAACTTTAGGGCTTTCACACAGAAACACACGTCGAGAATCAAGGCATTTCCCATGGCAGAGTGCACGTACATTTTCTCACAGGAACATTCCCTTAAGAAAAGAGAGATGTCTTGTTTTATAAGCACAAAGGCAAGATTGTGGAAGTGTAAAGATCCATTCACAAGGTGCCACCATCGCAGGAGCTTAGACATTTTCCCCATTTTTTCTTCTCATTTTAAACCTGTAAAATTTTTTTCGCGTGATATGGAATTTATTGTTTTGTTTTTCTGTATGACCTGCATATCTATGGCCATAAGCCACACCCAAGTAATTTCCTATACGTTCGTGAATTCCGTTCGGTATATACACAGCTGGGGTTTCCCAAAGTATTACCATACCTCATTGTTTATTTATACATTAATGAATGCGTTAGGTTAAAAGATTGGCATACCTGATACAAACCTCTTGTTTGGTTTCCTGCCTTTCAAAACAGCTGAACAAATTGCATAAGAGTTTTTCATTTTGTTTACTTGCCTATTAAGTTGAAACATTTCATCCTACCTTTCAATTCCCATCTAGTCACGTCTTCCAAACATATCAACCCCTGTTTATCATGAGGCCAACATTACTGTGACTTTTATTTTGGCATCATAAGAGTGTTTACATTGTCTTGAAGATCCAACAGTGGTGAGATCATTACTGATGATGACACTGTATAAACATAGGTTAAGCCAAAACTAGAACCATTGTGCCCTTTTTACTTATTGCTGTAATACCCTGACATATACTTTGAGTTTTCGGGTTCATATATATACATATATATGAGGCTTATAATGCCTTTAGTGATGTCTCATTTTTGTACTCAAACAATAAAGGGCTTTTACTTGAATTCTGCAAAATGCTCCATCTGAGACTCAAAGGAGCACATTTACAGCGTTCATTACATGTTTACGCTTTGAAAAGGTAACTCAAGTGTGCTTATGTACTGCATGATATGTTGACACATACATTGCTTAAGTTTAGGGGGAAAAACAAAAAAACACGCACACACCAGGTCTGTTACTGCATAAGGGTCGCAATGAGGGAAGGGGGACGTATTAATTTTACTAATCATGGTAGTGACACATTGGTCAAACATGGGGCTGCTGCTTTCCATCTGCCAGGGAATGCAAGGCATTTTATTTCCTGTAGAGAGGAGCCTTTTACTTGAGGCTGAGTAAGCACACAGAGGATGGCACACATGGGGCCCCTTTTTTCCTGGCTCCATGGTGTGCATTAAATTTTTGGCGTAAACAGCTCGGGGTGTGAATACTAGGTTCCCATTTACGAGGGAAACAAATATCATAACTTAATCAAATAAAATGCACACTTCATTAGGGATGACATATATAATTTTGGCACTGCATTTTCTCACATTTGTGTGAAAACTTTTCACCACACCAAGTGACAACTTGGAAATCATCAATCAGAATTAATGAAAATATATATGTGAAGATGAAAGGCCACATCAGTCCCTTTGAACAATCCTTTTGTGCAACCAATGCTCTACTCGGCATGTGGTAACTTTGATATTATCCCAGTAGAAATAAAAGCTTGTATACACAAAGCAGTCCAGAGACAAATCTCTGCAGCATTAAGAGTACCTCATCAAATCGAACGATACAGTATATCACATCAAGGTGTAAACAGGCTTGCGACCTTACTTTGAAAATATTACATTAAACATTTACTCCTTTAGTGAAAGTATTCACCCTCAATTGGTGTTCCTTTTGTGGACCTGCAATTTTTTAAGTTGTTCGACACCTAAAAGAGTTAGAACATAATAAAACCAATGTTGGCTATTTTTTCTTCTTAACGGGTAAGCAGTTATATTCTTTGGGTCTTCCGGTAAAGTCACGTAGATAGGTTGAAAGAAAATAACAAAAAACTACGACGTTTCGATCACAACACAAGCGATCGTCATTCTCCGTTTCGATCACAACACGAGTGTTGTGATCGAAACGTCGTAGTTTTTTGTTATTTTCTTTGAACCTATCTACGTGACTTTACCGAAAGACCCAAAGAATATAAATTCCTGCAGTCACGAAAGCTTTAAGTCAAGGTATAAGCAGTTGTCCAAAAACTATTAGACGAAAGCATCCCCACACTTTCCATCTGATGGTTCCTGCAACATTACCATTCATCTCCTGCGCACGAGCTGAACTCACCCCCCTCTCTCCCTCTCTCTCTACTGGTAGTCATGTTGTCGGGATTGTTCTCTCCATTGTCTGCCATCTGTACTCGACTATGCCATTGGCTGTCATCCCTTCTAGCAATACATCTTTGCTAAATACACTTTCTTAACAGTCAATAAGTCTCTTTTTCTTATGTGATATGTTGATTACCTGCTCCTTTTCCCATCTCATCATTCTTACCAATGAAAAGATAATTTTCTTCATTGTTCCAATCACAATATGTATGTTTATTTTTTGCATTGGGATTTGAATGACTTCCACAGTAATAAAATCTCACTGTACTGGATTTTTGTTTAACATACATTTCCACCTGTGACATGTATTTGTTATGTTTAAGCCATTATCCCTTCCAAGCAAAAAACTTACCTGAACGCTTGTAGAGTTTAGTGATTCCTCAAAAAAACAATCAATTTCAATGAAGCAGGAATTCACATTCCTGGTTCGTTGAAATTGAACCAGGAATTTTAAATAAATTCAATAGAAAATAATCTATTGCTCATGGTGTACAGTGCAGTCTCCAACCATTATTCACCCTATCTCTCTAGCCTCTGTTTATGTGCCATAAAGAAGGGCCCTTGCCCAAATGTCACCTATAATATATTTTTCCTTTTAAGGCCACTGTTATTGACGAATGTGAGTTTTTTGTAATTCGCATAATGAGCTGCACTGAAACAGGAGTGGAATGCATCACCAAACCACAACTGCGACCCAACAGCTGTGCCAGCCTCTATATATCTCCAATGCACAAACAGTGAAGAGCTATACTTGGCTGTTCCAGGTGGCCACATGTCTAAATGGTGTAGGTCTTCAAACTGAAGTTGTGTGCACATACCCCAGCACCTCTGTTCCAATATGTCCACGCTTAAATATTCTCACTTGGACTATTTTCTTTATTCTTTCACGACAATTAATAGTTATAACTCACGTGCTCACAATTGTATAAAAACAAAAACACCAATTCAATGCAATATATATATACGTAGAACAGGTTACATGTTGCATGCTTTGTTAAATGTAGCTAGCAATTAATGTATGATAAAATTAACAACATTTATATTTTTAAAAAATCTCCATAATACACATGAAGCATTTGGGTTATACATATACAAATATTTCCTCCGTGCATATTGCAGGTTTTAATTAAAACATGTTATAAGCTGGTACGGTGCTGGGCAAGGGGAGGGGGTTGCAGTGGGGGGGGGGGGCAGAAGGCTGGAGGTCGTGAGCCACGAGATTCGGCTTCCATTAAGCCATCACGACGAACTGCCAATGTGGAAAGGCTGCAGAGTACACTCACGATGCTGTGTGTTTAGGCAGGAGCACCAGGCCCTGCAGGAGAAGCTGGCAGCCCTGGAGAAGAAGGTCATCGTGGGTGGAGTGGACCTCCTCGCCAAGGCAGAGGAGCAGGAGAGGCTCCTGGAGGAGTCCAACATGGAGCTGGAGGAACGGCGCAAGCGCGCAGAGAAACTTCGGCGAGAGCTTGAAGAAAAGGAGGCAAGGAGAACCCATTTGTGGGCAATTCCACGCATTCCTTGGGCCACTCTAAATTAACGTGTATTCATACTCTTAGTTTTTTCGGTAAAGTCACGTAGGTAAAAAATGAAATTAAAATTAATAAAAATAAAATAAAAATCACGACGTTTCGGAGACGGTCCCACCTGATGACGGAGACTTGTGTTGCCTCCGAAACGTCGTGATTTTTATTATTTTATTTTTAGTAATTTTTATTTCATTTTTTACCTACGTGACTTTACCGAAAAAACTAAGAGTATGAATCCTTGCAGTCACGAAAGCTTCAAATCTAGAATTAAAGTATTTTCATTTTACCAGCGAAGGCCCACTGAGATATATAGCTCTTTTTCAGAAGCGACCTGGCCACATATGACAGCTCAACGAAGTGGCTTATCATGTGGACATTTGTGGGAGCCAAATACTCTAAACGCATGTTGATTCTAAATGTGGAGGGAAAAACCGGTGGACCTGGGGAAAAATCCACGCCGCCACGGGGAGAACATGCAAACTTAAAATATACAGGCGTCGGATTCGGGATCGAACCCACGACCTCCTGTATACCAGGCAAGGGAGATAACATAGCACCACTGCAGCGCTCACTCCACTGCAAGGAGGTCATGTCTAATCTATATTGCCAGTATTTTGCTTGTGCATTATCTGCCCTTGATGTACCAGGCTCATTAGTGGTTTGGGTGCCCCGGATTATACGTGTTCTTAACAAGACCCTCATTATTTCCATGAAAACCCATTTTTCCTATTTACAGCTTATAATGTTACTTATTATTCTTTCCTATATGATATTAAAGGTAATAAAACACACCACTGGAGCCACAGAAAATCACAAGCCAATTCGGGAATGCACAATGCACTTCTACAACTACTTACTCTACAGCACTAAACTGGGACGGCATGGAGACCTAGTACAGAGTGAAGATGTAGCAAAATAACGCCGGTATATCCAGCCACACATTATTCCGAGGACACAGTGTGTGCTCTTGGCCAAGCAGTTGGTAGGGCTCAGGGTTTGTTTTGCCGAGCTTCAGAAGAAACTCGGACAAGGGCAGAGAGTGAACCATAACAGGCTGCGGACATCAGGTGTAGCCTATTACGTTAAGGTGAACGCGACAGTGTGCATTCATTGCTGAAGCGCTGCAGCTGGAGTTATTATTTTACTGCAGGAACCTATGTAAGTTACGGCACCTTTGCCTTGCGTGTCATGCTGGCCATTGCCTGCAGGGAAACTGAAGTTTAAAACTCAGCAGTGGCCAGATGTGCGCGCACTTAAGAGGTGGATTTTGTGAAAGACTTTGCTTACAGGCCTGGCTGTAATTTAGATGTTGTCTTTGCGTGCATATTCAGGGTTTCCACCGACCTCCAATTCTGATTAAACTAATGGACCAGTTTAGTTTTCCGTTCCCATGGCGAGGCCAATGCAATGATTGAGAATAAGACACCAATGCTTTAACCTTTCATTTAACGGTGCAGGACACACTTTTCATGCTGGAAAAAGCAGGCTAATTTGTCCTATTGGTAGACAATCAAAACCTATCAGGGAATGGTGAAGCAACATGATGTGTATTCTTTTGTACACATTCAGTCGAACAAGGTCCCGTTATTTCAAAACTTGTGGAACAAAAACTGTCCGGAAAAAAAGAGACCTGAAAATCACAGCGGGGCGACAGCATTAATCTCAGTTCCTTAGATTAAATTACAAACTATAAACAATTTTTCTTATGAATCTTTAAACAAGTGCATTACGTATTTTTCCCCATTCATGGGATTGTTTAGCAATGACAGGTTCTGGATTATAACAAACCTCCCCAATTCCAGACCTCCGTAATATTAACACAATTTCACATTTACCTTGTAGCCACAAAAGGGGGTGGGGGTGGTGGGTGGTACGATTATGGGGGTGGGGGAGAAGAAGAGAAATATTGGAATAAAACACTTGTCAAGAAATGACGACAACCAACTCTCCCTTTAATCCCCTGCATTATCCAGGGCAGCCAAGTTAGCAGCGCATGCAGGAGAGTAGAGGTGGGGGGTTTTTTTCCCCCTCTGGCTAATTAGTGTGCCGTCTGCTCCCACTTTGCAGCAAGAACGCCTCGATATAGAGGAAAAGTACAACAGCCTTCAAGAGGAAGCCGCTGGAAAGACCAAGAAGCTGAAGCGAGTGTGGACCATGCTGATGGCTGCCAAGTCTGAGGTATTGCAGAGATTTTCCAGATGCAGTCTTCTACACAGCACCGTATTCTTAGTGCTACCGTAGCATTGAGCTTTTGCAAAACACATAAGCTAATACGTTAAGCACAAACCCTGCTTTGGCCCCTGCAGTCCACACTACTTATAACATCAAACAGTTTTGATGAAATGCTAAATGCATTTCAGATACGTAGACAGATTAAAAATAATGTGTTCTAATTTTACGTACGTACTTGCACATACACAAAATAATGTAGCCCCAGCACAGAGATGCATATGCTGTCAGAGAAGTTAAGCATACCAGTACAGATGAACATAAAACATCATTGGATGTTTTATATATATACATACACATAAATACACCAGAGATCCCCAGTGTAGTAGCATACACAGGCTGTTTGAGTAATTTCTGTTAGCGAGCACCTATAAGGCTGGCATGCCGCCATGAGAGGCTGCTGTGGCCAAGACCACAACAGCCACCTTTGTTTCCCCAGTGCTGTTGTTTACACACCAGGTACTCATTTAATACCCAGTTGACCTCGGGGAGGCCCCATGTGTTTATTCAGATATTCGTCAACGATGTTGGCCATGAGTAGGAATCACTAGTGTGCTGGGTTTGTCGCACAGTGCACTAACCACAATGCCACCAATACATATATATACACACACATTTTACACAACATTTCCTTATCCGGTTTAAAGCATAAAATGCTTGCAGGCTTGTCCGAAATATGATGCTGAAATCAACTGCAGTTCAGGGGACCCAATGCTCCAGGAGATAATTATGACTGAAAATAATTTTCCCTTGGACACGTGAACTAATTCCCTGATTACCCTGCACACTAACAGCAGCCCCACACAGATACACACAAGTGTTACACTAAGGTAAACAACTTTAGTGCCTCGAACGCTGTGCCAAAAAGCCAACTCCATGTTATGAACGTGGACTCAAAACATTTCCGAAAAGAGAACATCCTAAAATTGAGAACATCCTAATATTAGAAATGGTAGCAAGGGACGTTGTTAGGTCTTGTCAAAATAACGATTTATAATGTTTCCAGTTGACCGTACAAAAAATCAGCATGTCTTCACGGTTCATGATGCAGTGGTCGTCTTATTTTTGTGTGTCCATGGCTCTGAACTTCATGACCTGCTTTGAGTTTGGCTTTTGTCCTGAGAAAAAAAGGCATCTTGAAGGTGATTTTCCTCATTCAAGTTCATTTGTTTGACCAAGTGAGAACTCATTGGTGTGAGGAGTTCAAAATAAGTGCAGCATATTGGTGTTGACAGTAGGACACGCGAGCACGCTACCTTGATTCAAATAGGTTCCCGTGATATGGAATGTATTACAGGTAGGAACAACAGTTCCACACTACCCACCAGGGATTATTTGTCTGTCGTGCATAGCCCCTCCCAAACATGTACGCTCCCGGATTGGTTGAAGTGCATCACGTGACCGCGAGCTTTCTGTCATGCACGAATGCGCTGTCCAACCAAGTTCCTACCTGCCCACTCCTAAGGAACGTGTTTTCTAAGTGGACGTTGTCCCGCGCCGACCTTGGAGCAGTTATTCCTTACTCCCTCTCCCACACATGGTCTGGCATTCCTGCGGTCAAGAAATCATTGGTAGAAACGGGAGGGAGGAGTATAAGGGATGTTCATGGGCTTATTTTGTCCAGTGGGAAATTGAGGTCCACCCACGCCTGCCCTGTCAGAAGACGTTTCTACACAGAGATAGGGTCAGTGATTGAAGAGCCAACCAATGTTCGGGTCAGGGGTTGCATATACACACACCACTGCCAAAGTAGATAGGAGGCTTTAAAGCCAGCAAAAGATTAGTCGCATGTGCCATTACATTATCTTAGTTTTCCATGCGTCTGAGGACTCTTGTGACAGTTTGCCAGAGCACACCTCACCTTTGATAAGATAAGCTTTATTTAAACCAAGCTGTATACAAAGATGATCTGTTTATAAACAGTGAGTGCGCAGTGAATGATAAGTTATAATATAAAGAAAGCTGTTGTTTAAAAATGCAACAATATTATTAATTGATACAACCTAGGGGGCCGTTAAATAGTACTTAATATGGATAGTTAAATCAACACTGTTGTACGCTAATAATGGGTGTTTATGTGGAGAAATGAAACTCGTTAATGCCCAGTTGATGAGTGGGATGTGGGGACCATCCAGGACTGCTTTGGATATCACTTGCCACTGAGGTTGGCCAGGTCAGTGGGTAAGTCGCGCCAATGTGCACTGGCGATGCATGGTCAGACAAACCCCACAACAGACACGGATTGTGGAGGCCTACAACCGGCAGTTGATTGATAGAGGTTTGATAAATACCAGCTGAGCTACCTTTAAAACTAACATGTATCAAAATTCGCATCATTAATCGGTTACAAAACTGCAATTACTTTTTTGCCATCAGCATTTCTGGCAGTGTCGCTCAGATGTTGCATTGCCAAAGGGGTAGTAGTGCCAACTGAAATCACTCTTATAAAATAAAGGAACATGAACAAGCTAAGAATCAGAAGCATTTCAATGGTACTCAGCCAGTTTCGGAATTCTCCATGCACAAATAATAACAGTACACTTGATTGGATTCCAGTGCATTTCAACCTTCCCCCCCCCCCCCCTTAATATTGTTGTAAGTATAATGTAGTAAAAAATGATTGTATAAATTCCCATAACACAAGTAAATATCACCCCCCACCCCCCCCCCCCCCCCCAAAACATTCGGTTTAACTTAAAATCATCAACGAATAATAATTTTGGTCAATTTGTAAAAGTTAAACCAAACTTTAATGTCAATATTATCATCCTTTAACTTTAGATTAATCATAATACATTAGCCCTAATTAGTTTTATATACCAATTTACCACACTGATCAAATTATGAACGCTTATAAAACCAAAATAAGCTTGCTTTGATTTGCAAAATATTGAAATATAGAATTGATTGTTTTCAATTTCGATTTAAAGCTTTCGTGACTGCAGGGATTCATCTTCTTGGTTATTTCGGTAAAGTCACGTAGAAGGGAAATAATAAAATAATAAAAATAAAACATAATAAAATACAATTCTCACGACGTTTCGGCCACAACGCAAGCAGCCGTCCTCAGGTGAAGAACAGGTCTGTCGGAAAGACAGCGTCTGAATGACTGTCTTCAGTTAATAACTTGAAAACTAGAAAGTTCAAAACACATTTATAACTGGTAAGGTGCAATGCACGGATTGTATCATTGTTCCAAGGAGTTAAAATTTACAAGCAGGACATGCATTCCACATTGACTTTATTCATGCCAATTGTTGTGTGAACACATTTTAAAAGGTTTGCTAATTATCTATTTGGCTTGCACTCTTAAAATACTATAGAATGACAATGGTAAAATAAGACAAATTTCCATTTATCATGTGACTTTACTGGGATTTTTATTGCATAGCACATCAATGCAAACCTTTTGCAAACCTCGTCATAAACATCTAGGCCATTAAAAAGCTTTACAACTGCTGCCAAGTTAGCTATACTTTTGCAGTTATTTGCCAAAGTTGTAAAATTGCCTTCAGTGCTGTAAAATAATTGGCAGTTGCCTACTTGATGAACGGCTCTCACATCCTTTGGTTGCGGAACACTGAACGGGAATTGAGACCAATGACGGAGGAACTGCCCACTGCTTGCTTCTCTAATCACTACAGGACATGTACATACTTCCCACCTTACACGCAGCATTATCTGTGGCCTGCGGCTTACACAGCACTCAACTAACCGGCATATGTACGAGGGGTGGGTGGGTGGTGCGGGGGGAGGAGTTTTTGTTGTTGTTGTTTTGAACACTGTCCAAAAGATGCTTGGGCAAAAGCATGAGCACGACCCGTTCTCCCAGAGTTCCTGAGAACATTACAGAAAACAGATGGGCGCCGGTAGTTCCTCGGTCTCACGGCCCCTTAGCTCCCTGCGGCTATAACCCCCCCCCCCCCCCCCCCCCGGTCCGGCCTCATGTTATTCTTTTTTGCAAACGTACACAAGTGAATTGCTTAGAAACCCTGGCCATGCACGTATTCCGCTTCCTTGCCATTGTTGTTCTTCCCCCCCGCACCTCCGATTAGCACGGTTGGCTACGTATGGTGCGAAAGAAGTTCAACATACATACATGTATGCTCCAATAATAAGCGCAGCTTGCATTTGAGCAACACGTGGAAGAACGCTGTTGTAGACATTTTCATCCGCAGAATGCTCGGAAACTCTGTGTTATTATTTGGGTGGGGTGTCGAGGTTGGAGAGGTTATCCAAATAGGTTTCTAAATGCCATTACTCTCAGAAAACTAATAGCAATAAATCACGACTTAAAAATGTTAGTTATTAATTATGGTTTTCTCTGTTGTTATGCACACTGCCATAGTGTACTTTTTACACAAAGTAGTTTTTAGTCATGGATTTCAGGGTGAGTATGTTTTCCATTAGTTCTTACCACACTAAAGAGTGGGATGTGTCCTTTGGTATAGCGCTGAGGACACTCAGGATGTCTCCAGTCTGAAGGGGGTAAATGCACTCTGTTTTGTCAACTCATCAAATAAGGCTTTTTCTATCCAATTAGCTTGCTTCACAAGGGATTTGTGTTTTTTCGATTGCTGTTAGCTTTGGGTCTTGTACACTTGAGTCCCGAATCGCTTATCATCCCCCAGGAGGGTTTATCAGTTAACTTACGATGGAAATGTTTACAGTTCATTCCTCATCGTGCCGGACAAAAATTCCGCTTCCTTGCCCGTTCGTGCAAGCAGTTGAATTCCAAGGGGCTCGATTAATCTTGCACAAGTATCTCAGTTGTTAACAAATGTTTCGCTTCTACTGTATACCCCTTTGCAAAATTGAAAAAAATGAAAAATGTGCATATTTTATGGCATTAACTGATTGAACCAATTTCTCAATTAAAATGAATGATATGGTTTCTTATTATTTTATCATAATGAGGGTCATGTAACGTAAATCATATAAATGTACAC